CTATAGCTATTATCCACCTAGTATGATAGAATCTGTCTATTTAGGTTTGAATCTTTGGTTTAGTAAACATGCTTGCGTGTTGCAACATGATACATGTTGGAGTTCTAAGGCACATAATTAACTAGCTCTCTTATTAGATTTAATTGGACTTGGTGCAATTTTATACCAATTAAATCAAATAAGGCCTTGTTTAGATTGCAAGTTTTTTCACTCTCTCTCCATCACATCAAATCTTTAGGCATATGTATGGAATATTAAATATAAATAAAAAAATAACTAATTACACAGTTTGATTGTAAATTACGAGACGAATCTTTTGAGCCTAGTTAGGCTATGATTGGACAATAATTATCAAATACAAACGAAAATGCTACAATGCCAAATACTGATTCCTAACATCAATCTAAACAGGCCTATGGTTCGTAATAAACACTAGCAATAATCTCATATGAAAAATTAATTGGAGATAGTATCTACATCTGTTGTGAGGTAAAAAAAAACGTGGAAGGCTAGCCACATGTTTGCGAGGCTTAGGCTTCGGCCAAATAGGCCACAAACAAGGGCAGTGTGCATACTAGTAAGGTTTTGCAACTCTAAACTAAATGAGAGACACCAAACCAAGGAAAAAGTGAGTGAATATAAGAAAAGTGATAAGAATGAGATGATGAACCAATAAAGATGGAAAATTTTATTTTCTTTTAATAATAGATTTTTTTTTCTCGATGTTAAAAGCATGTTGGTAAACCAGATAGCTATGCAAATACGGATTTAGGGTCTATTTAGATACGCATGGCTAATTACTAGCTAAGCTAAAAATTAACTCAAATTAGCTATAGTTGTCCAGTTAATTGGCTAACTACTTGTTGAACAGGCTTAAAAAAATAGCTCATCTATTAGCTCTTCTGCATGAATGCACTAGAGCTAATTTTATCTAATTTTTAGCTAGCTATCAATTAGCTCTTCACCCCGTTCGGCTGGTCATGTCCTAGCTTGTTTCAGCTTATTCTCCCTCACAAAATACTATTGAATCAACCAGAACCATCCAAAATCCACTGTGCAGGCAACGAGCCGAACACCCTGCTTGTATCTAAACATGCCCTTAATTGGCTCGGTTCGTTTTGCTGAAATTTGATTTATGTTGATACTTATACTGATTTATTGTGAGAGAAAAACATCGTTCCTTCGTTGGTCCGTAGAAATTTGATGTCCCTGTATGCTTTCATGTGAAATACACTGAACTCATGGGCTGTTTGCTTCATAGTCCGAGAAATTGCCTGGCCGGCAACTCCAAGGCATCCAATTTGAAACGCTTGCAGCCAGTATTGGAGCCTAAGCTAGGCCAGATACGCAAGCAAATAGAATAATAATAGATTCGCAATATCTTAAATATTTCATGATTAATTAACAAGCGGAAAATAAAAATGAATTGAGCGGTGCCCCCAGGTTTGTCACGTGGCCACGTCGACCACGAGGCCCTCTACCAGATCGCGTCGTCCCCTCTCCCGACTCGCCTCCTCCACTTGTCTCTGTCCTCCTCCTGTCCTCCACCTCCGACTCCACGCCCCGCTCGCTTTCCCCTCCCTCCTCGTCTCCGAGAAACTCTCGCGCGCCTCCGCAACGAACGCCTCGGCGCCTCCGCCCCCCGCTCGTCCCGTCCATCCCAGGTCGGTCTCCTCCTTCCCGTCTCGACGCCACACGTTGTTGTTTGTTTCCCCCGCTTGTTTGTCCCGTCCCCTGGCTGCTTGCCGCCTCGCGGACCCTGGCTTTGTCCGGGACTCCTTGGCCAGGTGCGGCCCCTGCGGGAGCTTTTAAATGCGTCTACTAGAATCGCGACCGGCTGCTTCCTGCTGCGATGTTCTTGGTGCTGGCATCATGCCTTTCCATTGTTTCCTGGCCTCCTGACCTGCTGTAGATGTTATTGAGCGGTTGTGAGGAGCACGGATAGTTATGTTCTGGGAGTCTTCGTGATATCACGGTTTGATCTTAGCTTTTGAGATTGGTGTCGAGCTTCCCCGCGCTTGCTGTCCCCGGGTACGGCTATATAATTGCATAATTGACTGGGTTCGTTCTTATCTGTTTTACAGTAAATCATGTACTCCTCTTCGTCTAGCTTTGGGGCATCGGTACAGTGAGATGCCCAATTATGTGTGTTGTTCTTGGCCTTCTGTGATATTGCTAAGGATGAAGTTGATACCTAATGGTGTTTTTTTGGGTCAGCTAACTAATTACGGTCATATGCCATTCTAGTTAATTTCTCCCCTCACTTAAATTACGCGAAATGCCATTGTATTTCATTTGGGCAATTTTTTGGGCTGACCCAATGACCCAACGTTAATTAGAACTTGCATCCCTAGATATTGCGAAACATGTTCTTTCAAGTTTTCATAGCGCTCAGTAGATTCCGTTGGTAGATTTCCCTAATTACTACTGATTCAGTAGATTACAGGTCTTATATGCAAATTTTATATTGTTAGCTTCAGAAAAAAAAAATCTGTGGTGCCTGTTGTTGCTGACCCAAAAACAGAATATTCTTGTCATGACATCTAAAAGTTGTGAAGTGGCTGACTGTGGATACCTAGCTAGAGTGCGCTGCTGCTACTTTAGATGGTTTTGATTTGTTCCATGTATCAAGTGTGTTACAGGAAAGATCTTCTTTCTTTTTACCCCTCCTTGTAGTCAATACATTTCACTCCTTGATGGCACGATGCTTCCTGTGAGAATGAAGATTATTGGATCGTTTACTTTTGCTCAGTCGAATATTTCATCTTAGAGTTCTTTTTGTTGAATCTTCTGATAAAATTCCATTCCATGCGTTGGTGCTGATCTGAATGCAGAATATTCTTTTATGTTGACATATTCCTCCTTCGAATATTTCATCTTAGAGTTCTTTTTGTTGAATCTTCTGATAAAATTCCATTCCATGCGTTGGTGCTGATCTGAATGCAGAATATTCTTTTATGTTGACATATTCCTCCTAAGATGTAAAGTGGCTGACTGCGAAACCTACCAGAGTGAAGTTCTACTAAAATTAAATGTTTTTGATCTGTTCTATGTATTGAGTTCATCATGCAAGGGATCTTTTATCCCTTGCAGTGCTAAGTTCCAGTGCAATGCACAAAGATTCTTCTTTTTTCTTTTGAAACCATCATAAAGATGCTCCTTGAAGACCGCTATCTTTTATTCAGAAGACTCACTGCTCTTATGGCTGGTTTGTTCAGTCTTTAGGTGAAATTCTATTTTGCCTGGTGGTGCTGACACAAATTCAGAATATTTTTCGTGATGTTGACATTATTTCTGCTAAGGTGTAAAGTGTCTGACTGCGCTACTTATCTAGTGCCTGCAAGGCACCAGAGGTGTGCCTCCAAAATCTGTCCAAGAACAAGTTGAAGGCTAGGGATAGTCCCATTGAACACACAATCATTGTGGAGTTGCAGTGCTTCCACAAAGTTCATTATGGTGTGTACATCGTGCCTCTAGATGTAAAGTGGTGAACCTATTTAGAGTCCAGTTCCACTTCTTTGAGCATGATTTGCGTGTCGTGCATATAAATATTCTAGTTATTTATTTACAGATTAAACTTGTGTGGTACATGCTTCTTGCTTCATCAGTGGTTCTTTTAATCTTTTGGTTTCTTGCTGAGGTCCATATCACTTCTTGATTCACTTTGGTTTGGTTTATTTGGATGGTTTGTCTAGCTGTTAGCACTTAGCACAGATTTAGTTGAAGGTCAAAGCTTGTCATATAGTCTTTGCTTTCTAACTCATGTTTTTATTGTTCAGTTTTCAGAGTGGTCTTGTTGAATTTCTATACCAACAGCACTGCCATTTTTGCAGTATTGAAAAGCTATTGCTGTTTCTTCACTCACTGGTAATAATCACAAACCTTTATCTGTCACATGGAGTCAGCTTTCTACTTATATCTGTCTTGCAGATAGATAACATGAGTATGCATTCATTCAATATACTGCTAAATTATGAACCTGGACTCCTGTTTCTCATAAATTGGTTATGCCTGATGTTGACCATTAGATCATATATCATTTTATTTTTCAACTTTATGTGTTATTTGAAATTTATGTGGACATTTGTTTCAATAGTCAACTGCACCACTTCCCAGGAGTGAAAAGGCGTCTGGTTTTGTTCTTTTAAGATTTGATTTATCATTTTCAAATATATATTTTCTGTGGCAGTGGGTAGCTTAGATGAACTCATCTGTGTTTTGCAAAAGGACACTACAAATATATATTGTGTTGTAGCTAATATTTTGCCTGTTATTTCTAAATTTCGAATAAGAATTCAATTAATATGATGTTCTGTGATCTACAGTTCAACACCACCTGTATTGACACATAAAGTAAAATACAACTAATTCATTAGCAAATTTTGAATGCAGTTTGTATCAACCACCTGTGCATTTGTTGTATGTACAGTAGTCCTTTTGGATTCATGAATATTGACATTATCATTATTTTGTTCAACTGTGCAGACCTGCAAGCTCTGGTAATTTAGAAGAAGTATGAGCTGCTTCTGAGTGTTCTGGCTTTGTTAAATAAATAGATTATCTTCATAGAGTGCTAACAAATGGATCGCCGTGATACTTCTGGGTTTGTTAGTGGAGGATGCAAGGACACGAAGGGGCTGCTAACAAGCATATATTTCTAACTCCTTATATTTCTTTGCAGTATGTAACCTAGAAGTGATGCTGACTGTACTTTCCCAAAAAAGATCAGTCTAATTTGGTGGTATTCTCTGCTACTAGAAGCAATGGATCATACGCTTGAACACTTAGGGTGTACCAGAAAATCTTCGAATTCAGACACCCTTGGAACCTGGGCCACTCTTAGACCAGTAGTCATTGAACTAAGAGATTGTCCTACACAAGTCGATGTGCTTTCTCAAGACAGCACTTATATTATATCAAGAGGGATCAAGCGGAAGTGGGTTGACTTGTCACTTGGCCTAGGTAACTCCTCAAGTTCCTCTGACTCCAGCAAGCAGAGCATGGGTACATGCTGCACCTTGTCTTCTGCTGCAAAGGATAAGGATGATGGATCATCTATTGACTTGGACCTAAATTTTCAGTTCAGTCTGTGTAATGAAGGCACATCAAAATTGGACACGAATGCTTGTAATGCTAGGAGAGCTTTGGAGAAGCAGCCTGTGATGGACCTTAAGTTATCTTTGACAGTCGGACCTTCTGAATCTGTTGTTACTGATGTGGACCTTAATATGGCCACCCAAGATCACACAGTATTGCTACAATCATGCAATGCGGCTTCAGTGCCATCTGTTGATGAAGGATCAACATCTGCTCGCTGGAAATCTGGTGGTAAGCTACTTCCTTACCTGTTACCAGTTGGTTCCAATCAATTCCACAGTCCTATTCCACTGCCACCGACGATACAACTGCCAAAAAGTCCAGTAGCTTGTTCTTCAGGAGTTGTTGGCCCACAACAGCGCTGTAGTAGCACAAAAACTTGTTCAGAACCAGGATGCTTTAAAGGTGCTCGCGGTTCATCCGGGCGCTGCATTGCACATGGCGGTGGTAGAAGGTGCCAGAGAGAGGGTTGCAAGAGAGGGGCTGAGGGAAAAACTATCTTCTGTAAAGCTCATGGAGGAGGTAGGCGCTGTGAGCATCTTGGATGCACAAAGAGTGCCGAGGGTCGCACTGATTTCTGCATAGCTCATGGAGGTGGCCGCCGCTGCAGCAATGAAGGGTGCAAAAAGGCAGCAAGAGGAAAATCTGGCCTTTGTATTAAACATGGTGGGGGAAAGAGATGCCAAAAAGAGAACTGCACAAAGAGTGCGGAGGGACAGTCTGGCTTTTGCATTGCTCATGGTGGTGGGAGGCGCTGCAAACATGAAGGTTGCACAAAAGGTGCTCAGGGCAGCACTAGTTTCTGCAAATCCCATGGTGGTGGTAAGAGATGCACATATCCAAATTGCAGCAAGGGTGCTGAGGGCAGTACACTCTTCTGCAAGGGCCATGGAGGAGGGAAACGCTGTGCAGCTGAAGGCTGCCCAAAGAGTGTCCACGGTGGCACCGAGTTCTGTGTTGCCCATGGAGGCGGAAAGCGATGTGTGGTACCAGGATGCACTAAGAGTGCTAGAGGACGAACAGACTGCTGTGTTCGTCATGGTGGGGGCAAAAGATGTCAATTTGCAGGCTGCAGCAAGAGTGCACAGGGGAGCACTGATTTTTGCAAGGCTCATGGGGGAGGCAAGCGTTGCTTATGGGGCCAACTAGGATCTGACCTTGGTGCAGGCAGTTCTCCTTGTGAGCGCTTTTCAAGGGGTAGGAATGGACTGTGTGTCGCACATAATGCTCTGGTCGAAGACAGCCGGGTACGTGGCGGCGAGACACTTGGTGCTATGGGTTCATCAGGATCTGTTATGAACAGCACTGGAACCATGGAGAGTGGGGCATTCAACTCTTCCAATTTTGGTGAAGGTACCAGCAATGTTGTGCATCCTGCTGAGGCTCTTGGTCACACACTAATCTCTGCTCCAGAGGGGAGGGTACGTGGCGGTAATATTATGGTTATGATTTCTACTGCCATGAATATTGGAAAGCAATTAAGCTGCAATGTGGATGCAAGCACTTCTACTGGCAATTGGCTGTAGCATGTAATACACCAGCCCTGTTTAATTGGCTTTGCTTTTGTCAACTGAAAATAACCTTCGGTTCTTTCCATTCTGTATCTAGGAGCCATGCATGTTGATAACATAGCGTTTGTGCTTTATAGGGTACTTCCGTGTTTTGTTGTAGTTTTAGGTATCTTGTGTGATAAATAACCAGGGAAAGTACTGTAATATATATTAGCACCTAAGTGTGAGATTAAAGTTGTTGCTTGGAAATGTAAGAATAATCTTCAAGATGTGTATGTTTCTTGTTCTCTTCGAGTACAAGACTAGGGTTGTGCTAAGCTACTGTCAATGCATGTGTGAGCTGTTTGAACACTTATTGAATATCTACCTATTTATGATATGTTCTTAATGCTCTTTGTATTCTGTTGCTCCTTTCAGTTTAGTTTGTACTAGATGCCAACTGCGGTCTTGTCAATGAGTTATTGAGTTCTATATGTTTAATGCATTATGTTTGATTAAGGCTGGCAATGTGCATTTTTATTTCAGAAGTTCCACTCCAAAGCTTGAAATGTAGTTGTCTCGAAGGAGTTGACTGTCTCATGTTCCCTGCTTGAGTTATATCCTTTACAATGAATTATGTTGAATTAAGGCAGGCAATGGGCATTTTGTTTATTTCAGAAGTTCCCGAAGAAAGCTTCATTTTTTTTGGGATAAAGGAAGAGAGTTTCAAATGTTGTTGTCCTGAAATGATGTAAATTGTAATGTCTTTGTTTCTCGAAGGAGTTACCTGTCCAGGTTCCCTGCTCTATGCATGGTAAAATGTTAAGTGGGCGTGTCGTTAATTAACGCGCTGGTGATGGTGCATCAACCTATGCTCCTTCTCATGCGAGCATATTATAAGATATGAATGTTATAAATTCATTGATTAATGCAAGTACCATAAGACATAAATGTTAGAAATTCATTGATGAATGCAAGTATTATAAGGACATGAATGTTAGAAATTCGATGATAAATTTAAGGTCCAGAGTTAACGAATGCTTAACTCTCTCTCTCTCTCTCTCTCTCTCTCTCTCTCTCTCATTGTTTATATTTTAACACCATTCTCATATAGATACTTTCTTGTCTTTATCTAGTTATGATAGATTTTGGTTACTACTCTACTGATTTTCCATCACCAAATAGCTTTTCGACTTAAGAGCAACTCCAAGAGCCCATCTAAAATTAAAGTCTAAATTCCACGGTTTAGCTAATATCTAAAATAGAAAACCTCTTAAAATTTTAGAGATCTATTGCGGTGGAGTCTACCGACCGCAACGTCACCGGGCTGCGCTTTGCTTCTGCATTGGCCGGCTGCTCGGCGCTCAGGCACGATGCACTATATGGGACTGGGAATGGTCGCAGGGCATCGAATTAGCACACTGAACGTGCCCAGGATGAGGTGGGATTGGGAATGGTCGCAGTACATCTAATCAGCACTGAACGTGCCCGGGATGAGGTCGATGGTTGGCTGGTTGTCGGTCGACTTCTGCTCGTCCTGCGTTCTGCCTGCGCTCGCTAGGTTTCTATAGCCACCGAGATTTATGGAATGGACGGTTGGGTAGTTTGCAATCCCAGATAGAATAACCGAACAACAGACACCTTAATCTGTAGCTCCAGCAGTGAACATTCACGCTTGAAGAAATTATTAGTAATAAATACTCCATAGAAAGCAAGCTCAAACTCCAGACAAGTACCTCTCTTGCTTAACCCAGATACGCATTCCATTTTCAAGACATCAGTTCAAATATCCACACAGATTCTTTCTTCAGAAACAGAGAAGCAGAGTCACGCATCAGTTCAAATATCCAAGCAGGCCGCTGGCCTGTTGGACCCTTGGATCTGCATCCTGATCGGGGGCGTCCAACCCTAATATGGTTAGTGGGCCCCTATCGCACAGCGCTATAAAGAGAGGTGTGGGGACCAGGGCTCGGCTGACGAGGTTGACTGGAGCCGCTGTAACCACCCACAGAGAAACCTAATCCGATCTAAAGTGAATGCTGCCAGCGACGGGAACCTCTACCAACTCTGCCGTCACCTCTGCATCGTCCCTTGCAGTGTCACCGCCGGGCCACTGGACCTCGCCTCCTCTCCACCGCGCCGAGCTCCCTCGACACCAGCGTCCACACCGGCGTCCACGAGGCTGAGGCGGAACTACGCCAGGGCGAACTAGAGGAACCCTAAAGTAAGATGCTTACCCCGATCTATGGTTTAGAGGCACTGCTGTGATCTAACAATGGTATCGGAGCCAAGGTTATTCACACAGACATCTGTGGTCAGTTTCCTGTAAAGAGTGTGGATGGTAATGATTCGTTCATAACATTCATAGATGATTACTCCCGTTATGTCTACATTTATCCAATCAAAGAAAGAACAGAAGCATTGGATAAGTGTAGATATTTAAGGCAAAAGTTGAAAACCAACGCAATTTAAAGATTAAGATAGTCAGGTCCGACCGTGGAGGGGAGTACTACGGTCGGCATACCCTATATGGCTAAGTTCCTGAACCTTTTGCAAGGTTCTTACAGGAGAATGGCATAGTAACCCAGTATTCTACACCGGACGAACCTCAGCAGAATAGAGTAGCTGAAAGACGCAATCGTACCCTGATGGATATGGTGCGCAGTATGATAAGTTACTCCACCTTACAGTTGAGCCTGTGGATAGAGGCGTTAAAAACCGCCATTCATATTCTCAATAGAGTACCAAGTAAGTCGGTGCCCAAAACACCGTATGAGTTATGGACAGGAAGAGTACCCTCACTAAACCACTTGCGTGTGTGGGGGAGCCCTACTGAGGCTAAAGTATTTAACCCAAACATTGGGAACCTAGATCTCAAAACAGTGAGTTGCCATTTCATTGGCTACCCAGAAAAGTCAAAAGGTTTTCGTTTCTACTGTCCAGATAAACATACAAAGTTTGTGGAAACGAGATACGCTATCTTCCTAGAGGATGAAATGATGAGGGGGAGCATGGTAGCTCGAGAAATTAATCTTGAAGAGAAGCGGGTGTATGCGCCCACTCCGATGATTCATGAGCCATTTTCTCACTACCTGCTGTCGCTGCACCGACAATACAAGATACTGTGGTGCCAGCACCTGTTGTTATTCCGCCTGTGGCAACAATGAATGACGATGATAAACCTGTTCTTCGGGATCCTATAGAACCTATTGCCACACATGCGGGGGAGCAACAACAGCCTCAAACAGAAGATGTGCTAAATATGGAGGCCCCTAGAAGGTCTCAAAGAGTTAGAAAATCAGCTATTCCTGCTGACTATGAAGTATATAACACTGAGGAATTTCAAATGGAGGATGATCTCACCTCATTTGAAGAAGCCATGAGAAGTGATCATTCATCAAAGTGGCTTGAGGCTATGAAAGATGAAATAAAATCTATGAATGCCAATAAAGTTTGGGACTTGGAAATAATTTCTAAAGGAGCCAAAACAGTAGGCTAAAAATGGGTCTACAAAACAAAACTTGACTCTCAGGGGAATATAGAGAGATGACTTATGGCAAAAGGCTTTACGCAAAGAGAAGAGATTGATTACAATGAGACATTTTCTACAGTCTCATGTAAGGATTCCTTTAGTATCATAATGGCATTAGTGGCACATTACGATTTAAAATTACATCAGATGAATGTAAAGACGACATTTCTCAACGAGGACTTGGAGGAAAATGTTTACATGGCACAATCGAAAGGTTTTGTCATGGAAGGAAAAGAATGAATGGGATGCCGCCTAAAGAAATCTATTTATGGATTAAAATAAGCTTCAAGACAGTGGTACTTGAAGTTTGATCAAACAATAAGGAATTTTTGGGTTTTAAAGAGAATGTAGAGGACAATTGTGTCTATGCAAAGTTTAAGAATGGGAAGTTTATCTTCCTTGTCCTGTATGTGGATGATATCTTACTTGCTAGTAGTAATGTCAGTCTACTACTGAAGACAAAGAAGTTTTTGTTCTCAAAATTTGATATGAAAGATCTTGGTGAAACTTTGTTCGTTCTAGGGATTGAGATTCACCGAGATAGAAGTAAAGGGGTATTAGGACTGTCACAAAAGGCATACATAGAAAAGATATTAAAGAAATTATGTATGCACAGATGTAGTCCCTCACCTGCTCCTATAGTCAAAGGCGACAGATATGGAAATTTTCAATGCCCCAGGAACCAATATGAGATCGATCAAATGAAGTGGTTCCATATGCTTCAGCTGTCGAAAGCTTGCAATATGGTCAAGTATGTACGCGCTCTGACTTAACATTTGTTACTAGGTTACTTGGCAGATTCCAGAGTAATCCTAGAACAGAACACTGGAAAGTGGTAAAGAAAGTCTTGCATTATTTGCAAGGAACGAAAGGCCTCATGATGACATATAGAAGATCTGATTCACTCCATATAGTGGGATATTCAGATTTTGATTATGTGGGAGATGATAGAAAATCCACGTCTGTATATGTATTCACTCTCGTAGGGGGAGCTATTTCATGGAAAAGCTCAAAGCAAACCGTCACTACATCGTCCATAATGTATGACGGTTTGTAGCATGTTATGAGGCAACGGGGCAGGTGAACTGGCTAAAGAAGTTCATACCCGGTTTGAAGGTGGTTGACGACATCTATAGACCACTTAAGTTATACTGCGATAATAATCCGGCAATACAGTATGCTCACAACAATAAGTCAAGTGGTGCTGCCAAACACATTGACATAAAGTATTATGTTGTGAAAGATAAAGTCCGGGATTAAGTCATAAGTCTTGAGCATATAAGTACCGAAAAGATGCTCGTGGATCCGCTTACAAAAGGCTTACCACCCAACGTGTTCAGAGAACATGTAGCTAGCATGGGTTTAAGGGAAAGCCTATAATTTCTGGACAAAAGAAGGCCCAAAGTTAAGTATTTATTTCAGAACAGAGTGGTGTGTTGTAGCTGTTAAATCTATTGGCAATTGACCGTAACGATAAAACATGTTTTATGCGCTAATCTGTAATGGAATGAACAAAAGTAAATGATAAGAAATTAAAAGATGGTATTGAGATCAAGGGAGAGAATGTTAGTTGATCTCCACCAATAGGCCCAACGGCCTATTGGGCACTTGAATCTGCGTCCTGATCAGGGGCGCCCAACCCTAATATGGTTGGTGGGCCCCTGTCGCACAGCACTATAAAGAGAGGTGTGGGGACCAGGGCTCGGCTGACGAGGTTGACTGGAGCCGCTGTAACCACACAGAGAAACCTAATCCGATCTAAAGTGAATGTTGCCAGCGACGAGAACCTCCACCAACTCCGCCATCACCTCTACATCGCCCCTTGCAGTGTCACCACCGGGCCACTGGACCTCGCCTCCTCTCCACCGCGCCGAGCTCCCTCGACACCAGCGTCCACACCGGCGTCCACGAGGCTACGGCGCAACTGCGCCAGGGCGAACTAGAGGAACCCTAAAGTAAGATGCTTACCCCGATCTATGGTTTAGAGGCACTGCTGTGATCTAACATAACTACAATAGAAGTCTAACATAAGCATAACAGACCTTCGTAATCACGAAGCTATCGAAAATTCATCAATGTAACATGAGCAATCATATGATTCTCCTTGTCTGATTGCGAACTACAATTCTGCTGCAGTTACCATCTTGCAGTTACCATCAGTTCAGTTCCCAAGCACAAAGAGAGCACTACAATTCTGCTGCAGTTACCATCTTGCAGAAAGGCCAAGAAAGCTATCTTCCTGCAACGCTACCAGGGTAGATGTAGAAGACTCAAGACCTCGAACTGGAAAGTGAGATCCTTATGCACCCCCCATTCCTGCAGAAAAACACAAATATTAGTATGTGCCCCAATTCGACCAGATCCCCATGAGTAGGACTCCGCCCATAACATAATTGACAGATCCAAGATGTGCTCCGGCAAGTAAAGGGGGTTCTAATATATATTGGTTGTGCTCGAAACGGTTGTGCTCGAAAGGCAGTTATGAATCGATTGACTAATCCAATTCCAATATCTTGATTTTGAGAAGCAATGCATCGTGAACCAATATATATATCATCTGCTAATACACGACCAATTAGTGTGATGATGGCATAAACTAAAATTGATTTTCAGCAATCAAATGAGAAATCAAGTTGCCGCAGCTATGGCAGTTAAATTGTCACATGTACATTTGCACAACATTACTGAGGAACTGAAATGATGAAATCATGGACATTATTATGCCCCCACCCCCACCCCCAATTCCTGAAGGAAAATCACAAATACACTCAAGTTTCTATGAGGAACTGATGATGAAGGCATCAACTAAAAGTTGCTACCAGCAACCACAAGAGACATCAAGCTGCCGCAAACAGGTAATTAACCAAACAACACTAACTTATGATGCACAGCATTATTATGTGATGAGTGAAGCACAGAGTAGATGGGCATGAGGCTAGAACCTGGAGTATAGAAGCTCTCGAAGGGAAAGATACTGCTGGAGTTGAGCGTCTCTCTGACCTCGCTGATTTTGCCAGACTTCAACTCGACAGTGGAAACGATGCCATTTGCCATTATAAAGATGACGCCAGACATCTCTGCAAAGCCGATCACCTTGAGCTCGGTGGTGGGGCCTCCGATGGTGAAGGGTACCATCGTCTCCAGGGTGATTTCCCTCCACGGCGCCCATACACCCTCGCTCCACGACCACAGGAGGAGGCGGTAGTTCTCCACGGCGGCAACTCCCAGCCCTCCGTCCTCCCCCGTCACCAGGAACGTGTCCCTCCTAGTCCTAACCGACGGTGGCGCGTTCATCACAGACAGGGCCGCCCCGCCCAAATCGTACCTGAGAACAGTGCGGCTGTTCTGGAGGTCCAGGGTGAAGTACACCGCGTCGCCGGCGAGTAGGCTTGGGCCCATCAAGTCGTTGGAGTTCATGAGGGGGGCGGGGTGGACTGTCGTCGGCTCGGTCCACAATCCGGTGTCCGAAGAGTAGAGGCTCGCCCATGTGAAGACCTCGTCGATGTGTTCGTCGGCTTCAGCGTTGGTGTTGATGGTGCCCGTGAAGACCACGCGGAAGGCCCCCGCATGGCAGTCGAGGTGGTCGCAGCCGTCGACGGCGCAGAGCACCGCTCCGGCGAAGCAACTGAAGGGAAACCCAGGATAGTTGGGCAGGACCTGCTGCTCGCCAGTGATGGGGTTACAGACGATGAGGCCAAGGGGATGTATGGTATGCACCAGCACGCGACCGTGGCGGCAGTCGAGAACCAGCTGGTAGTCGCCCTGGATGTTCGGCAGGTTGATCGGCGGGGAAGGGGTAGCAGTGGCAAAGAAGCGATGATCCGGTCCGTCGGCAAGGTCGCAGGAGGCCCAGAACTGGCGGTGCCCTGTGGAACTCGCGGTAGCTGCGGATGACATCGTCGTTGGTGACGAAGGCACGCCACTCCCGGCAAACGGCTGAAGCGCGGAAGAGGCATGCCGGATTGTCCGGCGGGGAGCGGTGGATGATCTCGCCGAGGAGCACCTCCGTCAGCACCCCCGGCGCCGGCGGCGCTGCCATCTCACAGTGGGATTGTGTGCTGACGAAACCGAGAGTTGGTCGGTTGGGGGAAAATGTTCTGGGAACTGGGATGGCCGTTCAATGCCACTAAGCCAGTACAAGCAGCACGCGTTGGCCAAATGCCATTTGGGGCCAGGGTGGCAGCGGGAGTGGTTCAGGCGTTTAGCCCCAGTGCTCTCTGTCTCGGGGTGGCACAAAGTAGTTGGGAGAAGGGAATCTCTAAAAATCTCAGTCCGCTATGCTTACGTCGAGGTGCGCACATCCATTTTCGAACTTTGAGACTGAAATTTCTTTAGCTTACGCAGCGCTGCTGTGTGTTTGTTCGATCCCGTTTGTTTCGCTAAAGTTTGGCTTATATTTATGCTTATGCTTATGCTGATTTATTGTGAGAGTAAAACACCGTTCGTTCGCTGAAAATTACTGCTGAAGTAGTTCAAGCGAACAGAAATTTAGCTATGCTGATACTTATATTGATTTGTCGTGAGAAGAAAACACTGTTCGTTCGCTGAAATGTACTGCCGAAGTAGTTCAAGCGAAAATGGCCCATGAATTTTTTTAAGCTACTCGGTCAGCTATGTTTTCTTAACAAACCTTTTTCATAACAACTCAAACAAATAAATTATGTAGAAAAAACTTGCCAAAGACGAAAATGTAAAACTCCTCAGATGTCTCATCTCGGCGAGGGTTGTCAAGTCAACTCATACAAAATGGATGCATTCTAAGAATGGATCCAAATGACTCAAACGATTGACCATGCTAAGAGCCGAATGGTCCAAAAGAATGAGCTAGACTTTAAAAATTAAGGTGACATTCTTAACCTATGTAATATCTACATAAACCTCCAGTTAACACTTCGGATCATAAGTTCTTCGTCCTTAGGACCAACACACTGCACAAGTCCTTAGCAAAAAGACTAAAAGATTGAGCTGCCAAGTTATCACAAGCCTTACACACGTTTTGATACACCCTATGAGATAAGATAATAAAGTAAGACTCATGATCACACTAACAAAGATGTTCTAAGGTGCATGCAGTAAATCTATACTAAGCACACATACGAGATGATCATAGTTGTCACACAAACAAACTTGCAAGCGATGAAAGTAAAGAAAGTATGAAAGAGCAAGGCAAAGAGAAAACTAATTTTTATCCCATGGTCTTGGGTTGCTGCCACAACCCCTAATCCACATTAGAGAACCTAAGTCACCAATGGCTTAGTTACACTCCACTCTACAAGTGAATACCATGTACAAGCTTCTGGAGCCTCTTGAACAATGACTCCACCGAGCAAAGTACCAAGAGTAACAAGTATTCTGGCTTCCAACTCAAGAAACCCAAGCAAGAACATCGATAGCACCGGGGCCTAACACTCAAATCATCACCTCAAAGCTTAGGCGGTTCTCCAATGCTTCACATACCTCTTTATAAGTGCTAGCACATGTGGGGTGGAAGAGTAGCTCCAAATGAGCCAGGGGTAGCACATATATAGAGGGTGAAGAGGCTGCTAGCCGTTGGAAAAAGCTAGTAGATGCAATGTGTAAAGACCTTGATGCCTAAGAGGGGATGAATTAGGCAACTTAAAAATCTACTTCTAACTATGGCCTCTAATTTTTGACCTTAGCAAAACATATGCAAATAAATAAACTATCTAAATGTGGAATGTAACACTCCTGTGTTAAGCTTTGCATTTTGGCATCTGCATTCATGAGCACAAGCATCATCCAAGCATTCATGAATATGAGCATATGAAATTTCATCTCCTTCTTATACATTATCACATGAAATGTTGATTTATATATATGCTTATGCTTGCAATCATGTATGACCTATGTATGAGATGGTTGTGAGGTCATGAAAACACCTTAGACACATCTAGGATGATAAATGGAACAATGTTTGTATTCATGATATAGGACAAATTTGCTTTTAAGTGTTGGTTTCATTTGAAATCTATTTTCATGATGCTAGTTTGACCAAAGTTGAACAGTAGCTTAGAGTATTTGAATGGTTGTGTGACCTAAATAAAAGTTGTAGTACTTGACTAGGGTAACAACTTTTATTTTTGGGTCAAGGTCTAATTCAGTGCATAACATGTTAAAAAATAGCTCACAATTTGCAAGGAAATGATGTTTTGTGACTTAGGAAATTTTCTTAGTGTGGAAACGATTTTTAGTTTCAAAGTACCTCACTTTGGAGCAGTGTAGTTTGTTAACTAGCGAGAATTAGATGATGGTTCTTAAAGAAAAGTTGGAGATCTCATGTAGCTCTACAACTTTCATTAAGGAAGTTTTTGCTAATTCGCAACAGATTAGGAGTAATTGAATCGCTAAGCCACGCTGTCAAACGGATTCAGTGGCACCTGAGTCGGTGCCCGTGCAAGGCGTCGTGGCCGACCGGCCACAGGCCATGGCTGCTGCGTGACAACAGCACGTCGGCGTTGCCCTGGCCGGTCAGGCCCGAGTGCGCACTTAAGCACCACGCACCCGCCACCCCATTCACTCGCCCGCTCTCACTCCCTCCTGCTCGCTTTGCCTCTCCAAGCGCAGCGCCGAGCTCGCCGCAGCTGCTCGCCGCTGATGTAGCCTCGTTGGCCATTTTGTCTCGGCCACAGCTCCTTCGCCATCACCTCCACCTCCTTGAGCCACCAGCACCACCTACCGACCACAAGTAGAGCAGCATTTCGCCTCGCCGCAGCCGCTGTTGTCACCAGAGCGCCGCCGCGCTCGCGGCTCACCGTGGCCCGCCATTCCACTACACCACATGCCTTCATTTTCTTTGGTCCCGCACCGCGCTAGATTCTAGAAGCTTAGGCCGGAGTTAGGAATGATGCCACCACTTGACGGCGCCGGAATGAGTCGCCGCTCCGCCGGCGCCCGCCATGGCCGCCGTGGAACTCAAGCTCGCCGCCGCCGAGTTGGTTCACAGTCTTACTCCTTTCTCGCGCGCCTTAGGTCGAGTAACCCTAGGCCTTGCTAGTGGCATGACGAAGACCCACCTTTTGCCACCATTTAGCCAGAACAGCGTGAGCATCGCCGTGCTCCGTGTGCCGCCCCGAGCCCTCACCTACGCCGTGTAGCTCTGCTAGGTCAATAGGATGGAGTAGCCATCCTCACCTAAGTGTACCATAGCCGGAGATGGCTGGCGTACCACCGCCAGACCTCCGTCGTTTGCCATGGCCGCCGTCGAGCTTGCTCCGGTGAGCCACCGAGCCAACCAAGCCTACCAGTGGATGCGCGTGGGTGAGATGAGTGCAGTGGTGAAGATGCCACTGCCAGAGACCTCATCGTCGGTGAGTTCTCACCGGCCAACGCCGTCCCCTATTTTGGTCTCGCTGACGAGTGGGTCCCCGTTGACCGCGGGCCCCGGCTATCAGTCTGTGTGATGTTTGATTTTCTTATTTATTTTTTCAGATTTGAATGCATGTTTCAAAATTTCATATCTCAAGCTAGAAGTGTCCAATTTTGGTGAACCAAATTTTGTTAGTTTCATCTTAAAGTGTAGTATTTGATAAAAATATGAGATGCACTATTTCTGGTATTTTTCTAGGAGAATAAAATATAGCTAGATAAATGCTTTTTAAATGGTTTCTATCTTGTAAATTACATAACTTGAGCTAGATAGGTGATAAAATTATGATTCTAATTTTGGTAGTCTTGTGTTGACATGCTTTAGCTTGGAAAAATACTAAACTTACAGTGGTAATACTTTGAATATGGTCTTCATATTTAATCCTAATTAATTGCTAGTTTCTAATGAAATTAATTGGGGTAAAAATACATAACATATAATCATGAAAATTTTTACATAGTATTCTTGTGCTTGGAGGAATGTAAGAAAAATATTAAATCTGTTGCTTGACACTTTTCACTATACTAAATTATTTTTGCTAAAATAAGGCTATGTAACTTGTCATTTTTGTAGAGGTAGTTATACTTATCCAACTTACATGAAATTTATACAGTAGACTAATAAGGTCATTTTTAGGCTACTATAATTTTCTCAGAATTTATTAGCACTGAAAATAATTATCCTTTAAATCACCTTATTATCTAAGGAAATTAATAAATAGATATAAATAATTTAGTTATGTTTAACCACAATATTTTCTATGGTGCTTGAGATGCATATTATCTGTTGATATTATTAGTTAGGCTTAAAAGCAATAGGTTATATGCAACTAGTTAATTATTGCTTTATAATTCAACTAGATGGCTGCATGTATAGTTTTGGTTGAGTTGATAATTTCACGATGATAGTGGTCTTTTCTATAAAACCTGTTAATAACAAAGTTGTAGATAACTTACTTATCTACCTTGTGTTAAATTTGTATAGTCATAGGCCTTATGGTTTAAGAATTATGGCTGTCAGAAATACTTGCTCTCTAGGTAGATTTGAATGATTGAATTGTTTGACCTAGATAACTGCTGAATCACATTAAGTGTATTAAAAGAAAGTTACAGACAATTTTATAAGCTTTCCAGAATATACACATCCATATTATTTTGATGTTTATAACTCCAGTTATGGTAAAAAAAAGTGACTGCTATCTTGCAGTCCATAAAATGACTTACATAAGTGTTTGCTTAAGTTACTAGAGAACAGATATGCACCTACTCAGTAAAATAAGATGCAACTTCTTATTACTTTAATGCAAAGCTATCAAAAACACTTGGGAGGATGCATTCATCACATCATATCATATTATACATGTCATCATATATGCATTCGTGATAGCTTATTTCATGCTCATGCATATAGAATCGTCCGAAGAAATAACTCTGTTGGAGTTCAATGAAGAAGAGGAGGATCAGCAAGAGACGCCTCAGGCTACAGCTCTTGGAGAAGAGGAGCAAACTCT